ACTAACCCTATAGTTGCTACGTCTTAGAGGGCTCCTAAGTAGGCGTAGCTCAGGGGGTTCCGAAACCCTGCACCCTTTTTGGCAAACCCGTGGTGGACTCTGGGTGTGGCGCCTATGTACACTTGGGAATCCTTACATCAGCGAAGGCGGTTTCGGATCTCGGGAGGCGCAGCATCACTGTACGTGAGCGCAAAACCGCGCTTGAGTAGAGAAAGGCAGACTCGTATGACAGCTTTTGAGGGCGGAAGGTGTTGCTTATCATTTCCCATGAAGGGTCGCCAGTGTGTTCTACTCCGCGCGCGCGGGGCGCGCCGATTTCCGAACGCTCGATGCGAACTTCGCAACTTCCGGCCCCGCACGTCCCACACTTCTTAAGTGGGAAGACAGTTGCAGGGGTGGAGTTCGCAGGCAGGGTACGTTCTATAAGGCTTCTACTTAGGGGAGGGGAGAAAAGGATGAGAAAGGACTAGAGAGGATACAGAAGGGCTCCGCGGAATAGGGGAAACTACATGAATTCATGAAACTACCCGCCTGAAACTGACCCAGCCTCCGTGGGCTGCCACGTCCCACGCCAGTGCGACGGCGCTTGCGCAAAATGCAGCAGGGCATCCGACCTGGATCTTCCAAGTGAGACACCGGGCTGGTGGCCTTTGTCCCTGGCACCAGTTTTGCGAGGCGGCTCTGAGGCGCCAAGAGTTCTTGTCCGTTCATCTCAGCTCCCGAGAGCAATAGCTGAAGCATCCCCGGTCACCGAGCTCATGAAGCCAGTGGACAAAAAGGTCACGATATTCCGCAGTGAATCCGATGGGGCTGTCCTCCCGTCATGTGGAACCATAATAACATATACATTCCAAAGGGGGGAGGGACACACAAAAACATACTTCTCTCTTGGAAGAGGGCTGTCAGACAGTTCCCACACCTATACTTCGAGATCGGACTTCTGTGTTCAAAAAACACAAGAGCGGCAAACTGGGCCTTAGGCCTAGCCTCCAGTTGTAAACGGAGTGCAGGGTGCCCCCAAGGCACCCGCAGAAAAATCCCTAGCGGCCTTGGTGGGTTTAGGGAGCTGCGCTCTCTTTCTTCATTCGATTACTGACTCGCAGTACGACCGTGTCTGACAGAACATGACCGCATCAAGTCACATGAGGCGCCAGCTTGCGCTGACACTTGATTCTGGCCGAGCTGATGCTTCTGTGCTCGGACCTATCGTACGAGCATCAGGACATCATGTGCAACGGTTACGACGCAACATCGGACATTTCGTTGATTTGGCTGATGCTCCTCGCGGTAGGGGAGACGGCCGGAATCGCCGTGATGCACTGGCACTTTTACCCTAAACCCTAAACCCTTGGCTGCCCTTAGGGCATCAAAGGCCACCTCGTTTTTGCGCTCTCAAAGCGTGGTTGACTCGAAAGCACCTGATCAGGGGGTGCTACTTGCGGCTGTAGCTTCGGCCTCTTTCTTTTTGCGCCCGGGGCGAGTTCCAGTTCGGGTTCGGGTTCGGGTTCGGGTTCGGTTTGCGGGGGGGGGGTTCGGGTTTTGAGGGGAGGGGGGGGGGGGGGGGGTTCGGGTTCGGGTTTCGGGTTCGGGTCCGAGTCCGGGTTCGGGTGGAGCTCATCATGTGGGGTTTGCGGTTTAGGGTTTCGGGTTCAGGGCGGGCGTAGTACAGGAGCTACAGCCTTCCGCTTTGCGAAACTCTGCAACTACTGGGCCCAACAAGCCTGCATTCTTGTGCATGTACCCACCGAACTATGATTGTCATATTGGCTGCTGCAGAGAATTGTCGGCAGGATTGGTTCATGCGTCTGTTTGGCCACATACCCTGGGCACCGGCAAGTTGTCATTCACCAGTTCGTATGCTGGTCGTCGTCCGTATGTGCTTGAACGAAGAGTTGTTGAAGACGTCCTGACCGCAACTTGCTTCTCAAGGGCTTTGCGCGCGATTTGCGCGTTTTTGGTCGCCTCAGTTTTCCCCACTCCTTGGGTTCTTTGTTCAAGCATACGGTGAAGGATGGTCCAAGGGCCTTGCGGAATAACTATCCCCAAATACTATCTTTGGAAGGTCTACGGTGTGACCAGTGGGTTCGAACCTACTTGACTTTGCAAGCAGAGGATGCAAGTGAATATAGTGAATTCAGGGGCCATCTGACTTGCCCTGGGTACATGTTGATGTCAAGCGCGCTCGCGAAAAGTTTGGTCTCAATGAGGCTCCCTTCCCGGCTTCCCCACCACACTTATGGGAGCCCCTTCCCTGGAGCCCTCAAGACAAAACCCTAGTCCTGGACGCTGGTTGTCCTTTTGGGAGTGGAGCTCCCACTTTGGACCGTGCCTCCGCATAGGGGATACGTAGGACGCAGAGTTTGCCTACCCTACCCTCTCGGACTTGCTATGAGGGGTCTTGGGTGCCGGATCCGTCAGGGTCAGCAAATGCATTCACAGCCGGGCACGGTGAGGACAGCAACAAGCACATCGCTCAAACTGGACGAAAGTCGACCAAAACTCAAAACAGCATCCACCCTCCATGGTTTCAAGTATGCACCAAGCATCTTGGGCATGTTTACGGCCCTCAATTTGCACACGTAGTGATCGTGTGGCTTGCGCTTGGAGTCGATCCTCTTCTCCTGCTTTCCTCCTCGTCTTGAGCTTCCTTTGCTCTAAACAACTTGAAGTGTCAATCCTTAGCCCAAACCCTAAACCCTCAACCCCTAAACCACGGTTTAGGGTTTAGGGTTTAGGGTTTAGGGTTTAGGGTTTAGGGTTTAGGGTTTAGGGTATAGGGGTATGGGACCACCGAAGTTTTGCAGGCACTGACACCTGAGGCGCAACTGCTCTCAACTCCTGCCTGGCCCGCTGTCCAGGGAGGACGAGTCGTCTTTGGCTGCGGTTCCCGCTCCAGGGAGCATCTTAAAGACTTCCTCGAACAAGACCTGCCCAATGGCGCCAGAGCCAGAGCTTGAGAAATACTTTTGGGGGGCAGACAACGCGCACATTGGAGCTGTTGGCTCTAAACTGCTGACGCCAGTACTCGGAATCTTTTTGAGCGTTGAAGGAAGTATGGACTATCTGAGATCTGCGCACGCATGCTGCGCCCCAAACCCTAAAGCCCTAACGGCCCTACTACCCCAATACCCTAAGACCCTCAAACCGGAAAATGCCAATCAAAGGTGTGCAGGCGTCTGTGAACCTTAACCCTAAACTCGAAAACCCCAAAAACCCAAAAAAACTAAACCCAAACCAGATCTGAGTATTTCGGATGGCGCCGGTTGGAAGCCGCCTCGATCTTGGTCTCCATGCGCCAGATGTCTAATGCCTGCAAAGCAGCCGAAAAAAAGGAAATACAATATCGGGCAGTTTTTTTTAGACTCACAGCCCATAAAAAGAGATTGCAACCGGGGGTATTTTTCATCCCTATGAAAGGAAGGTTCCCTAAACCCTAAACCCTAAACCCCAAACCCCAAACCCTAAACCCTAAACCCTAAACCCTGAACCCTAAGGGCTGTTAGTCTACGGGGGAAGGGAGCCTGGTGAGTGTTATTTTTTTTGCGGGGGGGGGGGGGAGGGGGGGCCCAGACTTCGGGAGACCGCTTCGAAGGAGGCTGTAGAGTAGAGTCCGCACAAAAGCCGGTCACCCTAAACCCTAAACCCTAAACCCTAAACCCTAAACCCTAAACCCTAAACCCTAAACCCTAAACCCTAAACCCAAGGAAGCCCCACAAACTGGCTCTTGCGCAGGGCCCACGGCCTTCGCACCGCCACGCAGGCGCCCAGCGCCCTCGATGAACTCGGCAAGCCTGGAGCTCGGTTGAGGAGCCTATGGGGCCTAGAGGGTTTAGGGTTTAGGGCCAAGAGGGTTTAGGGTTTAGGGTCTAGAGGGTTTAGAGGGTTTAGAGTTTTTTTGGATTTTTTGGGTTTAGGATTTTGGGTTTTGGGCTTGGGGTTTAGGGCTTAGGGTTTAGGGGCTTTTGGCTTGGGGCTGAGGGTTTAGTGTTTTTGGCTTGGGGCTGAGAGTTTAGGGTCCGGGCTTTTGTAGGGTTCATATAAGGTTCGTGGACCTGGAGGGTTTCAAACGTTTCAGGGAGCTGCAGGGGCTTGAGGGGTTTGAGGGGTTGCGGGCTAAGGCGGCCTTCTTGAGGTCGGGTTGTTAGTCATTTGGGCTTTCCAACCCCGCTGTTGTTGGGAGGGTCAGAAGTATTCCGTTGCTTTGGGATATTGTGATGTCTGTGAAGTGTCTAGCAACGTTTCAGTGCTGCCTGCCGCCGTTGCAGAGCATTCTTTGCAACATCCCTGCTGCACGCAAAGTGCCAATCCATTCAATTTAGACTGCTAAACTAAGCTGCCTCATATATGGGTCCGAGGCACGTGATCTGGCCATCGCCTGGCTCTTGTCTCAAAGTTAGGGATGGGATCGAAGGGACTTGGGCCACACACTTTCTAGGTCACCGAACTACCCTGAGATGCTCAGAACCGCAGGCCTCTGCCGGAACCATGGCAATGTGTGGATATCAAAGCATCGACCCTGAAGCCAAGCCGCCGTTGTCCAAGAACTCGAAGAGGCTCAGCAAATCGTGGTACTCCAACCTTCGTGCAGCTAAGCAAGTGGCTCTAACCCCGCTGGGGAGCTCAGCCTTGGGAAGAAGCCTAGCCGATAGGATTTGCAGGCTTTACACACAACGAGGAACGCGTGTCGCATCCCGACGCGTGCAAAAGGGGCCACAACCAGTTTTCCTTCTTCTGTTTCCTGTCGCTCTTCCCGCCACGCTTGGAGGTGATGGGTGGCAAGGAAAATTTGAGAGGACCAAGGAGTTAGGGTATAGGGTTTAGGGTTTAGGGTTTAGGGTTTAGGGTTTAGGGTTTAGGGTCTAGGGTTTAGGGTTTAGGGTTTAGGGTTTAGGGTTTAGGGTTTAGGGCCTTTTTGTCTGGTCCCTCCTGTGCCGGCTAATGAGGAGCAGCGACCTAGTCGCAGTGGTGCTCGCATACTCTTTCCTTACACGGCGGATTCGACAGTCTAGGAACAAGAAGCGCCCCCCCTCTGAATCCCACTTTCGGAGCCCGCGTTGAAGCAAATCAGCTGCTGAAAAAAAGGTACTCGAAACAAACATAACTCCACCTCCGGGCAACTCCAGTTGGCTCATCCAAAACTTCAGCTTCGGTGACTTCACCAGCTTCTCAAATTCCTCAGAGGGCGCTGAAGTGAGGGCGATGAGGGCATCTGAGGGGCTTTGCAAGAAGAAAAGTTGCACAGCGCTTGCCTGCAGGAAGCCTTTAGATGCCCGGCGGATGCATCCGCAAGGATGCATGCATGACCCCTCTAAAACATAATCTCACGAATGCGGCCTCCCTTCCGCTTCAGAAGAGAAGCTCAAGCACACAAGGCAGGGTCTTGTCACCCAAGAGACGCACTCTTGGGCTCTTGGCAGCCAAAAAAGTGCTTGCAACAAGCTTCTTGCCAGGGTGCAGGGCTTGGGGTTCAGGGTTTCGAAGCTTCTTGCCCTTATGGTTTCGGGTTTTGGGCAGTTTGGGGTTGAGGGCACACGAGACCGGCCTCGAGGTTGATCGCGCCATCCCCAGAGGCATCGATTGTTTGGAAAAGCTTCCGGACCTGGGTGGGTTGTAGGTTTTCAGAAGGTTTCTACAGGGTCTGAGGGGTGCTTTAGATGACTTTGCCAAACTCAGGATTAAGGCACGAGCACCAGCAAGAGTATGGCCTCTACGCTGTGAGTGCTCGTTTGTTTGCCGCTAAGACTCCCACCGTTTCCGCTGCTGCTGTACATGCTTGTTCTAAATTAGGACGTTTAGTCATTCGAGTTTTCGTCGGATCTTAGTAGGGCTTGAGCTTCCAAAGAAGGTCTTAGCAGGGTTCCAGTAGGGTCGTCATGGGTTGTTTTTGTGTCGGGCTTCGTAGGGTTTAGGGCTTGGACTTCCCCCAACAGCCAGGCAGCTTTTCGGTTGTACACCGCAATGTCCTTCTCCTGCCGACGTTGAGCGACTTTCACTTCAAGGCGCGTCATGTGACAATCGCACAGAGAGAGAGAGAGAGAGAGAGAGAGAGAGAGAGAGAGAGCGAGAGCGAGAGCGAGAGCGAGAGACAGACAGGCAGGCAGGCAGGCAGGCAGGCAGGCAGGCAGGCAGACAGACAGAGAGAGAGACAGACAGACACGCACAAGCACTCCTTCTGTTTAAATGCCAGCTCTTCGTCAGAGGTCGCCGTCTTCATCGTCTGCCTTAAGTAAACTGCTGAAGGTTCTGCTTGATGTGGCCTCCCCACGTTCTTGCTATGGCCCGAGATCTCCCGAAGGCATAACCGGGAGCTTTGCGGAAGAACCTGAAACTTCCCAAGAGGATTTGGGCCTAGCGGGCCGCAGCATCTGCGGGCCAAAGCTTCAACATGCAGCCATGTCGCTGGACGAACACAGAATTGACCTGAGTTCGCCCAGGGCTACGTGGCAGAGCTGCGAGGGGTCTCCCCCCGAGATGAAATCTGGCTCTACTTACTAACAACCTCTGGGGTGTCAAACCACACTAGTTCCGCTGCAAGCCGCATGCAAATTTCAAGCCGACTCCTGTGATGGGCCACTCTGTAGCTGGTGCCGACATGGTGAGTGTACGTAGCTTCGTACAACCCGACTGCAGCTCACTGCAGCTCCCAAGCACGGCTTCTTCGGGCATTCCTGAGGCGAGCTGCCACGTTAAGCACCGCGAAGCCGAAGACGCAGCCTTGCTTGGATGAAACTCATATGGGGGGGTTTCCGAAAATCAGGGGGCCCCTAATTTCGGAAACGCCCAGATTTCATATAGCCTTTGCATCAGAACAGAACCCGGCCCATCAGTTCGGCAGCAGTTTTCGACAAAGAGCACGTGCGTTGGCCTCCAGGAAAGCTTGCCGAGGGGATGGCTGGGCGTGAAGATGTGTGATGATTGCCAACTCTTGCTATTGCTCGGGCGTCTTTCATCCTTAGAAGCCTTGTTGAACCCTAAACCCTGAACCCTAAACCCTCAACCCTAAACCCTAAACCCTAAACCATCCTGGGTGGAGCTTCAGACTGGCAAAACCCTGTTGACACACTCCACACTGTATCACGCGCTAGGCCAGGAGGCGGTAGAGCAAGAAGAAGACCGAGAACCACTCGCTGATATTGTCAACCAGAACACGGCAAGCAGGCCCCCAGTTCGCAAACCTTGGGGCTTCAAAGAGGCCGGTTTAGGGTTTAGGGTTTGGGGTTTAGAGTTTAGGGTTTAGGGTTTAGGGTTTAGGGTTTATGGCTTAGGGCTTAGGGCTTAGGGTTTAGGGTTCAGGGTCAAGAGGGCTCTCTACTGGATGCAGGAGCTTAGTGGCTCCGGCTTTGTGTCTCAGGTACTCTTCCGACGTGGAAATCCCTTCCATCCCCGCCCCCTGCAATAGCCCGAGGGTGGGGGTGGAGACACCTCTATGCTTCACTCACTTACGCCCTTACCCTACTTGCATTACTTAAAGATTCTCCTGCTGTTGCGTTTGAGGAGAAAGCCAAAGAAAGCCTAAAGGCCCCTCAACTCAACCCAGAAGAGCAACCCAAAGCCCAAACCGCTTTCTTTCGGTGCAGGCACATAATCTCGAACATTGTCAGAAAGGTTCGAGTAAAGGTGCCGTAGTATCGGAAGACCTCTCGCGGCCCCCGACATTCGGGCTCAGGCAGCAAGGGGTCAGGGTTCAGGACCGACCCATTTTTGGGGACTTGGGATGTCCTCCTCCTTCATGACTGCATCGCCCTCATCATCCAGGAGGTAGGACGAGGCCAGCATGCTCACCACAACTCCAGCCAGGAGCTGAAGCAGAGTCAGAAGGCAGAAGGACCAAAACCTCAGTTCCAGCTCACTGTAACTTGAGGGGCAGGCCGAAGAAAGCTAAAGCTAGCCTGGATTGACGCCAATATGGATTTTCTCTGTGCCTAGATTATGGCTTGAACCCCGATCGATGCGTAAAGCACCTCTCTCCGCCCATCCCCCCTTGCCTTCCCCACCTCTCATTCCTGTTCTTCTTTTCGTCTTTCAAACAGCACCACACCCCACCACACGACACCGCCACGCGTCGTTCCACCCCACGACAGATCACCACCCACCACCCACCACCCACCACCCACCACCCACCACCCACCACCCACCACCCACCACCCACCACCCACCACCCACCACCCACCACCCACCACCCACCACCCACCACCCACCACCCACCACCCACCACCCACCACCCACCACCCACCACCCACCCACCCACCCACCCATCTCCATCACCACCACACTCCGCACGCCATCAGACCAAGCATCATCATAACAGCACCACAGACCGCCACCGCCACTACACTCCACACGCCACCACGCACCACCACTATCACCACACTCCACACGAGACCACCACCACGCACCACATGGTTGCACTCCACACTCCACCAGCGGGATTTGTCTTGCAGAGATCTGAGTCGACCTTGGAATCGGGGACTTTTAATTTAACCCCGCCGCAAACTACCCGTAACTACCCCCCCCCCCCCGTGATCTCCACAAGTTTAAACTGCTGCAAAACTAATTGTGGAAGTGCGTGTGTCAAGGTGCCTCTGTGAGGCCTTGCGGGGTGGCCCGGGAGGTTCGGAGTTTTTGTGGTGTCGTTCGTGTTTGTCATTGGGGTGTTTAGGGCTCAGGGACAACTCCAAGAGATGCGAGGCCACTCAAGACAAGGGACAACATCCCCCTGCTGGCTTCCAGACACTTCACCAGCAGTTGGAGTGGAGCGTGGCCCACAGCCACGCTAAACCTTCGACTGACTTGGGGACCTACGGGCCGAGGTCCTGCAATACCGTAGGGCATCGTAGGGCGTTCGGGCTTTGGGTGTAAGCAACGACAGGAAAGCTTTTGAACCTGCAGCCGGCCGGCATGCGCAGGACTCGCAGCAGCTTCGCGACGCGCAGGAGCCGGAAGAAGTCAAAGTTCACAGGCGAGTTGGCGGCCGATGCCATCATAGCAATCTCGATCGCGCAGATGATGGCCACCGAGAAATCGACGCAGTTCAGCCACAGCAGCCTTGGCGATACAGGGCTTCGGGTTTAGGGAGGTTCTGAATTCTCCTCAGCCGGCCGTGTTTCAGCTACCTCAAACAAAACTGCCTGCTTCTGTTGCATTGCTACGCCCAGGATTCCAGCACGGGTGAGACAAGAGTGAAACATACATACGGCCCTTACACTATATGGCTTATGCGGCAGCTATTTTGGGGCTTTCGGGCCGTTGAGCAGTTGAGGGGGGCAGTCTTCAGATACAGTTTTGGTTGGGGATTCAGGATCCCGGAGGAATGCGCATTTTGGGGAGTTTGAAGTTTGTATGGTAGGCGATCAAGAGCTTGAATCGGAGGCGTGTGAGGGGTATGCGTTACTTCGACTCTCTCTGGGTTCAACAGCGATTTAAGACTGGTCGTTCTTTCAGCACCCCTACGAGTCCAAGAATCCCCCCCGCGCCCATGTAGAAGAACCTGCGCCCTGAACCCCAAAACCCCAAACCCTAAAACCTCCACCCTAAACCCTAAACCCAAAGCCCTAAACCCCTATACCCCTGAACCGTCAAGCCTACTAGGAGGAGCGCAGCCGACCTCGTCCCAAACGCCGTCGCCAGTAGTGGCAAGCTCAGTGACTCTGTACTGTGGTTTGGGGTTTTACGGTTTAGGCTTGGGATGCTTCCCCCTTATACTAACAGTCCTTCATAGGGACTACTATACTCCTTCTTAAGGACTGAAACCATCCCTAAACCCTTAACCCTAAACCCTAAACCCCTCTTTCTTACTGCAAGACACCTCCTGGCCGAGCATCAGATGGCTACATGTAGTCTTTGCCCCTGAGCCCCAAAACAACCCCAACCCTAAACCCCCCAAAAATCTACTAAAGAAAACAACACAGAGCTTTTTGAACTCCGAAACCTGAAGCTACTCAACTCTTGTGCTAGGAGGCCAAAATCTTCTCCGCAGGACCACGGCCCGCAAAATCACGTCTATGATGTAGAGGCCCGCCTGGGCTGTTGAGGGTGTTTGGGGCACTTGGGCGTTTGGGTATGGTGCCAGGGGGTCAACGCCAATTCTCAAAACTTCAGCTGTGTCACAAAGGCCGCGTCGCCATAGAAGAAGACTTCCCTCGCAAGCAGAGCCGATATGACATGAGGACCGAAATCTGTAAACTTTAGACTCTAACCGTTCGGCTTCACAACAGGGCCATCAAACTGGCCGCGCGCATCACAGCGTGAACGGGGTCCTCACAGGGGACTTTGCCCGTGACATGAAAGCAGGAGGTTCCCTGAGCCTCAATCCTGAATGGGAATGATTCGTTTCATCCCCTCCCCCAATATTTAACCCCCACCAACCCCCAAATATTAACAACCCCCCCCCCCCAAGCATATACTCTACAATGACAATAACGGTGGTATTTAATACTAGGGGGTAAGGACCTAAACCACCCCCCCATAAACTCTAACATAACTATAACGGGGGTATTTAATATTAGGGTGTAGGGGCCTAAACCCCCCCCCCCCCCATATACTCCAACATAACTCCTTCAATATTAGGGGGAGGAGGGAGAGGGTGGGAGGGAGGGGGGGGGGGGCGGGTTTAATGTTGGGGTTACACTCGATATTGAGGGGGGGGGGAAATATTAGGGGGGAGGGATTACACTCGCTGTGCTTGAAATCCTGCGTGCCAACAGCTCTGAGTGCGGCCTCCACAGCTTCATGGCCACCCCGAACGAAGTTGCAGTAAATTGGATCCTTTGTGAGCTGCAGAGGGTTTAGGGCTTAGGGTTTAGGATGTAGGGTTTAGGGTTTAGGGTTTAGGGTTTAGGGTTTAGGGTTTAGGGTTTAGGGTTTAGGGTTTAGGGTTTAGGGTTTAGGGTTTAGGGTTTAGGGTGTAGGGTTGAGGAGGCTTCGATGTGGTCCGACAGGACCTAACTTCGACCAGCTGCCGCAGGGCTTTTGGCAGTTCGCCTTTGAAGCAGAGTCATGTTTAGGGTTTAGGGTTTAGGGTTTAGGGTTTAGGGTTTAGGGTTTAGGGTTTAGGGTTTAGGGGTTTAGGGTTTAGGGTTTTCAGGCAGGTCAAGCCGATCACCCGTCTTAAGGCTTGCCAACCCAGGGTGCACAGGTCAGGCACACCAATCAAAGGTCCGCTTTTCTCTCAGCCAGCAGCCTGAAGAGCAGACTCTGGGGTGCTCAGGAGAACTCATTTATGCCCTCAGTCACGGCGACTCCTGTTTACGACTCTTGGCATCGAAGACCACCCAAAGGCAGGGTGCCGCCATGCAAGGCTTGACACTGAGAGTTTCGAACCTAAACCCTAAACCCTAAACCTTAAACCCTAAACTAAGTGAGGGGTCGCTTCCGTCGAGCGACAGACCCCGAACGCTCGGCCGAGGGCCTTACAGCCCGAGCGCCCAAGCGAAAAGAGAAACGGAAAGGTGAGGGTTAAGCCTCACCGTCTGTCCTGGACAGGCCAACGGACATCGGCCTTTTTTACGACAACGTCAGTACTCGGCTAAGGGATGGCCGGCACCCAGACCACCTTTTGCGTAGCTAAAGTATAACCCCAAATCGTAACCCTTTGCCTCTGGAGGTGGTTCAGGGTTTTGGGTTCAGGGTTTGCCGGGCCCCCCCCGCCGGGGGCCCCCTGGCCCCTGGCAGCTGGATTCCTGGACCAGGAGGCTGGCGAGGGGTCCAGGCAGGCTGGTTGCTCAATTTCGTGATTTTGGGGTCCGATTTTCGGCCGCCCCAAGGGCCCCCCGGGCCAAGGGCCCCCCGGGCCAAGGGCCCCCCGGGCCAAGGGCCTGCCGGGCCAAGGGCCCCCCGGCCAAGGGCCCCCCGGCCCAAGGGCCCCCCCCGGGCCAAGCAAGGGTTTGCAGGCCAAGGGCCTGCCGGGCCAAGGGCCCCCCGGGCCAAGGGCCCCCCGGGCCAAGGGCCCCCCGGGCCAAGGCCCCCCCGGCCCAAGGGCCCCCCGGGGCCAAGGGCCCCCGGAAGGGCAAGGGCCCCGGCGCCCCGGCCAAGGCCACCAAGCGCCCCCTGGCCCAAGGGTCCCCCCGAGCCAAGGGTCGTCCGGCCAAGGGTCAGGGGCCAGAACCCAAGGCCAAGGTGCCAGGGCCAAGGCCCTCCCGGGCCAAGGGGCCCCCGAACCAAGGGCCGGGCCAAGGGTTTGCCGGGCCAACCGGCCCAAGGGCCCAGGGCCACAGGATGCCCGTACCCGCAATGAAAAATGCGATTTCTTGGTAGTGAAATCGATGCTTAATTGAGGCCCTTAAAGAAGGGGAATCCAAGAGCAGACACAGAGGGTTTCCCTGACCTTCAAATAAATAAGGGCCTCTACGGGCCCTGACACGCCGAAGGCCCGAAAAGGGCCGAGGCTACCCCCAACCCCAGCTTAAACCCTAACAGCGCAACTTTAAAAACATCAAAGCAAGCATCAGAGCACAAGAAAGTACGGGCCCTAACGTGCCGAAGGCCCGAAAAGGGCCGAGGCTACCCCGAACCCCAGCTTAAACCCTAACACCGCAAAACCCTGCCAAGGCCTTCAAGCAAATAAGGGCCTCTACGGGCCCTAACTTGCCGAAGGCCCGAAAAGGGCCGAGGCTACCCCGAACCCGAGCTTAAACCCTAGCGATTGAAATACTCATTGGCGAAAAACTCATTAATAAGTTCCCTGACCTTTAAATGAATAAAGCCTCTACGGCCCCTGACACGCCGAAGGTCCGAACAAGGCCCCGAGAGACCCCAAGAGCCACCAAAATGCTTCAAAAGGCTTCAAAAGGCCCCCTAAAAGAAGGGGGACCCCAGGATGCCCGTACCCGCAATGAAAAATGCGATTTCTTGGTAGTGAAATCGATGCTTAATTGAGGCCCTTAAAGAAGGGGAATCCAAGAGCAGACACAAAGGGTTTCCCTGACCTTCAAATAAATAAGGGCCTCTACGGGCCCTGACACGCCGAAGGCCCGAAAAGGGCCGAGGCTACCCCCAACCCCAGCTTAAACCCTAACAGCGCAACTTTAAAAACATCAAAGCAAGCATCAGAGCACAAGAAAGTAAATTCCATAAACCCTAAACCCTAATAGAGTATAGTTTGGGTGGCCGGGGTGGGTTGACGGGCAACGCGAGCGCGCGGCCCGGGGTGTTTCACACCCGAGCGCGCGCCCTCCCCTGACACACCCTAAACCTTAAACCCTAAACCCTAAACACTAAACACTAAACCCTAAAAAGGGAGTCTTCGGCTCTGCCCAGTCTTGGGGACTGACTCGGGCTCTGCTGTTGGCTCTCGAGCCCTTGCTAAGGTTGGGGTTTTGGGTTTGGGGGTTTGGGGTTTAGGGTTTAGGGTTTAGGGTTTAGGGTTTAGGGCTTAGGGTAGGGTTGGAGGTTGAGAGCTTATAGGCCTCAAAGCCCTAAACCTCGTGAGCTTCTGTGCGCCGGAGCGGCTCCTCCCCTTGCACCTGCACCGTCCATGCCATCCATAGCCTGAATTGCATGGCGAGATAGGAGGGTTTAGGGTTTAGGGGTTTAGGGGTTTAGGGTTTAAGGTTTAAGGTTTAGGGTTTAGGGTTTAGGTTCGGCCCCGCTTGAATAAAGCCTGGCGTTGTTGGGTAGACTTCAAAAGGGATCATCCCTAATGTTCGGAAGCCTCCCTATCAGAGTTCACTTCTGGCTCGGAAACCTCGAATGACTCACTTGTGATCTTTAGGGTCTCTAGGGCTTACTGGTTCTTAGTCGAAACGCGGGGATTAAGCGCCTGATAGCATCCCTAGCTCTTGAATGGAGTATGTAGGGTATGTAGGGTACACACGATTTGAAACAACCATACTAAGAACCTGTGGCAAGCTTCAGCCGTACTGGGGCAGGGCTGACGGTTCAGGGTTCAGGGTTCAGGGTTCAGGGTTCAGGGTTTAGGGTTTAGGGTTTAGGGTTTAGGGTTTAGGGTTTAGGGTTTAGGGTTTAGGGTAGGTCAGCTGCTTGCACGCTGCTACGCAATCACGAGGAAAACAGAAAAATGGTTGCTCAAGCTACCTGAACCCTCATACCTAAACCCTAAACCCTAAACCCTAAACCCTAAACCCTGAACCCTAAACCCTAAACCCTAAGAGGCCCCCCCAAGGCAAAGCTGCAGTCCGGGAGCATGTTGGCGATAAGAACCGTCGCCATCATAGCCTCTAAGAGGATGTGGGGGACCCTTCACACCTTAAAGCCTTAAAAGCCTTAAAAGCGTATAACCTTGTAACCTTACAGCCTTGTAACCTTACAACCTGGTAACCTTCTGACCTTGTAACCTTGCAACCTTAACCTGAGGACCGGGATAGAGAGACAGTTCACTGACCCACAGGGTACGAGTAGAAACCGTGCTTTTGCGAAGTTTTTAACCGCACGGCCCATGGCTCATCTGCACGCTTTTTCGGGTTGTTTCAGGTCACTACCGCTGCGCATGCCGCATCTCCATTCGCATGCGATCAGAAGCGCGACCTGCGATGCCCGCGAAAACCATGACCCGGCCGATCCTACTGGTCATGAGGGCCCAAAGCCCTACACCCTAAACCCTTGAGGTACACGGCATCGCTCCTTCAAGCGACCCTGGAACCTAACAGGTCCCGCAAGAGCCTCATAGGAGGCCGACTGCAAGAATGCACGACAGCGCTCCTCAAAAAAAACACATCTCAGGTCCGAAAAAAAGGGGCTTCGTGGCTGGGAGGACTTCGGTTTAGGGTTCAGGCCAGCATCCGCCCCCCCCCCCCCCCCCCCCCCCCAGAAAGGTATCCCCTCCCCCCTGCGGTTCATGGTGGGTTTTGGGCTTTGGGTTTTCCCTCCCCGCCCCCGCAGTGGTTCATGGTCTGTGGTACACGGGTTCAGGGTTCAGGGTGAGGGCTTAGGTTTTCACTCTGCCCCCCCCCCCCCCGATTCACGGTTGGTTTCGAGTTCAGGGTTTTAAAGTCTTAGGGTCCAAAGCTCGGGGGTGAGGTAGGTTTAGGGTTTCCTTCCCCCCCCCCCCCTCCGCGGGGTTTCGTGGTGAGTTTACAGTTCAGGGCTCAGGGTTAGGGTGGTTGAGGTTTCGGGTTTGCCCTTCTCCCTTCTGTGGTTCATTGGTAGGCTTAGGTTCTGGGGCTTAACCATAGGGGGGGGGGGGTATACAGTACCACATGGGGGGAGGGGTGGGGGGGTCGAGAACGCGGAAAGCGGGTGCACATTAGGGTTGAGGGTCCACGGCTTGCAGGGTTTAGTGGAAGCTTGTGTTGGGGAGAGTATCAGGATTCTCCCCTTGGAACTCCTAGAGTTCTGAACAGAAACCGACGTACCCTAAGTCTAGAGGCTCTTGCACTACCGCTTCTAACACAACAAAACGCTTGAGCCTACGAGATCCAACTCGAACCTTTAGGGCTCAGGGTTAGCGGCTTCCGGCTTGCGGCTTAGGGCTTATAGGGCTTAGGGCTCAGGGCTTAGGGCTTATAGGGCTTAGGGCTTATAGGGCTTAGGGCTTAGGGCTTAGGGTTCAGGGTTCAGGGCTTAGGGCATGTAATGTTTCCAAGCGTCTGCTCGGGTTTGAGGATCGAGAGATGCCAACCTGAAAGACGCGCAGCACTGTTGCGCAGAACAACCCTATGCTTTCAGGATTCAAGCAGGGTGTCGGGTTTAGGGTTTAGGGTTTAGGGTTTAGGGTTTAGGGTTTGGGGTTTGGGGTTTGGGGTTTGGGGTTTAGGGTTTAGGGTTTAAAAGTTTCGGGTTAGGGTTTAGGGTAGGGTTTAGGTGTAAGGGGATATAAACCCGCTTCCTTGAGCATGTATCAGGCGTTCACTGGGCAGACGAGCCGCTCTCCATCCCAGCCGTCGCTTGCCTCCTTCCGGATCTCCTGCATTTCTCTGTACTCCTCGCATCGCGCAGGCGCCAAGGGACTTGGGAGGGACATCTCACGAAGGCTGACTAGAACTGACGTCATACTCTGGATTCTTGTTCAGGTACTTAATCCGCCGAGGCCTCGGGCCGTCGGTGTATGGGTGGCACAAAGCAACAGCTTGGGTATGTTTTGTAGGCAAGAGTAGGCCCTCCCTAACCCCCCCCCCACGTCCCTGCTCTCCGGAAGTTGCATTCGGCCAGGCCGAGGCGGGTCGCGTAGCGTTAAAATTAACTTCCCATAATGAGCTATTCCCAAGACATTGCGCCTACGTTCTTGAACCAGACCCGATAGATTCCCCCCCCCCCCATAGTAGGAGCTTTCTATAAACCCTAAACCCTAAACCCTAAACCCGAAACCCGAAACCCGAAACCCTAAACCCTAAACCCTAAACCCTTTCGCCTTGGAGCCGGGCTTGGCGGATGTTGTCGTCGTTTTTGTAGGCGGGGGCCCTTGGGCCATGCTCCCCGCCGCAGTCCCGTTGGCGTCGCGAAAACGTGGCCGGTGCGTACTTTGTCCTACCTGTGTCCGTTCTGAGTGGCTTTGCAGATTTGCACTTCGAGTACATGCTTCATGTGCACGTCGTGGCCTTGCACTGGGGTTTGGTCAAGCAAAATGTGGATTTTTATTTTTGGGAAGTGCGGGGGGCTGGGACCTGATGGGCTTCTTGGCACCTTGTGGGCCTCCTGGAGCTTGTTGGGGCCTTCTGGGGCCTCCCCCTGTTTTAGAGCTGGGGGGTCTGGGGCTCCACAAGCCAATTTTGGGGCAAATGTTGGGATTTTGGGCTTTGGGGCCAATTTGGGCTTTGGGGGCCAATTTCTTTCTTCGACCCCCTGCAACCCCCCTCCCTGGCCTGGGCGTCTACTCCCCTGGAGTGGGACCCTCCAGAGGTTTAAGCAAATTGAACATTTGGCCTCCCGGCCTCCCGCTTTGGATTAATTTACTTAAACTCTGTTGTTTAGACAAATATCTTGGAAAATTCAGAATGATACCACATACAATTTCTATTTATTTTGTCTTGAGGGTTTAGGGTTTAGGGTTTAGGGTTTCGGGTTTAGGGTTTAGGGTTTAGGGTTTAGGGTCTAAAAGTTTAAGGTCTAAAAGTTTAGGGTTTAAAAGTTTAGGGTTTAGGGTTTAGGGTTGAGGGCACGATTCCGAGAGCAACTTGGTGCTCCCCACGCCGAGGCCTGGAACATCGGTATGTACATTCTACTTCTTAGGCTTCTTATTGTTGTTGCTCATAGATCTTTGTACCATGTACATATGATGCTGAGCATTCTTGTATGACTACAGTTCTTGCCATGCGCTCCCCAACTGGCAGAGTCGGGCATCACCTGGAATCCAGGACCTGGAACCTCTCGGAACACTCGAAGCGAGTTTGGGGGGGGGCGAAGGGAGCTGCGCTTCGGGACTTTCGGAATCAGAGCTCCTGGGCGTCCCAGGCTTCGAGAATCGCGCTGGCTTCCAAGGGTACAAGTGCCTTGGTGTGGGAGCATTTCTTGGGGAGGCGAAGGCTGAGCCAAAAAGAAATAGAAGGTTTAAGGGGTTTAGGGTAGAGTTGCGACGGCTGCTCTGCACTGCTTTAGCCAAGTCGACTACCAGGACCCCATCACGAGTCCCTTCAGTGGCTCCGGCAACTCGTCCGAAGCCGAAGCCTGAACCTCCGAAGCTTCTCCGCGCCCTCTGATGGTGGAGAATCTACCATGAGCTGGGCGTTCCAGTGAAACGGACCCAGTGGGGAGCTGTTTGTATAAGCCTCTTGTAAACACTGGCAGGGGCTTCCTTTCTTGCAAGTGTAGGGAAACTAGAAACTGTCCTATAGGAACCCGTGGCCGTGCCCCTAAACCGCTAAACCCTAAACCCATGCAACCCTACAAGGCCCACAAGTGTACTTTTCAGGAATTCGGGAACCCTAAACCCTAAACCCTAAACCCTAAACCCTAACCCTAAACCCTAAACCCTAAACCTAAACCCTTAGGGTTCCATGCGAGGCCAGCAGCGGAGTTCGAGGAATGCCGCCTGTATCGCCCCCAGGTGTTGTGGTGCCCGAAGGATGCCGAAGAATTCATGGACATCGGAGTCCTAAGGCTGCAAGGAGATTCTTAAGGAGTTTAGGGTTTAGGGTTTAGGGTTTAGGGTTTAGGGTTTAGGGTTTAGGGTTTAGGGTTTAGGGTTTAGGGTTTAGGGTTTAGGGTTTAGGGTTTAGGGTTTAGGGTTTATAGGGTTTATAGTAAGTGGCGTTTATGGTAGGGTTTAGGGCTTGAGGGGGTGCTGCTCACGAGGTGGTCAGAAAGCGCTCTTTGCGGACAGTCCCTCTGCCCGATTCTGCATATGACTCACACAGGAACTGGCTGAAGCGGTTGCTTGTGCTTGCGACGAGCCACATCATTCGCTCCATGCCGAGGGCAGGGGTGCCCGAGTAGGAGGTCTGACAAGAAGGAGCTTAGGGTTTAGGGGCGGTTTAGGGTTTAGGGCTTAGGGCTTAGGGCTTAGGGCTTAGGGCTTAGGGTTTACGGTTTCATTCCCGTTGCTTCTTTCGGGGGTGGGGGGTTCTTAGGCTGCCCTTCAACCCCCATAACTTTGCAACTCTTCAAGTCACAGTATAGGTTCAAAAAACACTCGCAGAGAACCCAAAATGCGGCTCTTTTGTTTTAAGGATCTGTGGAGGAATGTCGGGTTTCTTCTTAAGGGACTCGACCATGCTACATTCCCTGGAGCCTAAAGTGAAACCCTATGCCGCAATGCCTATAGCCTACAAACTCGGGGCTCCTCTCAGCCGAAGCCCTGTTGCCCAAAAAACGAGCTCTCAACATCCTTGGCGGGCCTGAACGGGCGACAGGGCCTGAACGGGCGACAGGGCCAGCATGTTGGCCTCCTCCCCGACCACTGCACCCGCGCCACCCGCGCCACCTGCGCCGGCGCCGGCGCCGGCACCGCCGGCAGTGCCTGCGGGACCTCCGCCAAGCGTTCGCGCGACCTCCAGCTCAAGGGCCTTGGCTAGAATTTTGGGGGCTTTAGGGGGTTTATAGGGGGGTTTTAGGGTGTTTCTTATAGAAGGCTTTGGCAGTGAAAAGGGGTGAAAGGAGTTCAAGGAGTTGAGGGTTAGAAAGTTTAGGCCCCGAGAACTTCGCCGAGGGCCCCCGGATGATTCCAAAAAACACAAATGCCCTACTAGAACCCCATAAAATGTAGTCCTTGTGGCGGAATGCCATCCCAAAAAGAGTGTACAAGTCCCCCTCTTTCAGGGGGAGACATTCTCGGTTCCCGCCTTGTGAACAGTGGGGCGCAAGGTCGGCTGCAACTTCGGGGGGCTCAGGGTTTAGGGTTTAGGATAAGGGCTTAAGCGGCTTAGGGCTTAGGGCTGAGGGCTTAGGGCTGAGGGCTTAGGGCTTAGGGCTTAGGGCTCAAGGTTTAGGGTTTGAGAAGCTTACGGCTTAGGGCTTGGGGCTCAGGGCTTAGGGCTCGTAGGCATCTGAAGGGAAACTGGGCGAGGCGCGTGCTGGTTCACCAGCTGGTCGATCAAGGCCAGGAAGGCCTCTGAGGGCCGGATTTTTGGGGGTTGGGGTTTCGGGTTTAGGGTTTAGGGTTTAGGGTTTAGGGTTTAGGGTTTAGGGTTTGGGGGGGTTTAGGGTTTAGGGGTTTAGGGGTTTAGGGGTTTAGGGGTTTAGGGTTTAGGGTTTAGGGTTTAGGGTTTAGGGTTAGGGGTTTAGGGTTTAGGGTTTAGGGTTTGGGGTTTAGGGTTTAGGGTTTACGGTTTGGGGTTTGGGGTTTAGGGTTTGGGGTTTGGGGTTTGGGGTTTAGGGTTTAGGGTTTAGGGGGTGTAGCTGGCCAGGAACCCCGCAGAGCCCATCCATGAAGTTCAGCCGTGCACTGGAGCGTGGGACTGCACGCGGCACGCGCAAACCCAAAGAGCAGAGCATCAGCCCTAGCAGTCTGGGGCCTCGCTTGAGCAGTCGTCATTTCGGGCGCCCTGCGCCTTCAGCGAACGCTGCAACCCTAAGCAAGGCTCCACAGCCCGAAGAGCGAGTCTTCAAGCCCTACACCCTAAACCCTAAGCCCTAAGCCCTAAACCCTAAGCCTTTCAGCCTTCAAAAGCCCCCCCCCCCCATCTCGGGCCTCGGATGCATTCGTCCTCGGCTTCTCCGGCAATCTCGGCGGGGAGCTGAAGCCAGAGGGACTCTGCGGCATCTTGTTGTGGCTGAGCCGCGCCTGGAAAACAGGCTGCAAATCCAGCCTCCAACCTCCGACATGAAAAGTTCTTCGCTTCGGTCACCCTACAGCCAACCCGAGGTGGGAGCCTGTCGTCGTCAGATCATTGAGGACATTTCGCTGCAGGCTTCTGTGGCAGGACTCTTTGCAGAACTGCCTTTTTTTCTGGAGGTGGGCACTCCCGGGATACCTCTTGCGGGATTCTCTGAGGGCTTTGCTCTGCAAGGGTCTCGCAGCCTGTCTGTGGGCCTCTCAGAAAGTGGGGCTTCAAAAAAACCCGATGGACATTGGCTTGTCCCTAAAAGTGTTATCGTGCTTTTTTACTCCTTATCGTTTTACAGCCTTTGCGCACAAAACACAAAATTATTGACTAGGAGTCCTATCGTTTTACAGTGTTTGCATACATCTCCAAAGCCAACATCGAGCCTACAGTCATGGGAGGGCTCTATATATATATATATATATATATACATATGATTGATTGATAGATAGATAGATATATTTCCAAAGCATTTAACTATAACTCTGCCATCGACATCTGGGCATTCTGCTGTGATAGTCTTAAAAGTGTTTGTGTACTAACTGGGGCACACATCTTCAAACCTGGAATGGTCCAGGTCCTTCAACAAACCCCATCGTGAACAAAAAATGGTTCTGGTGATCGCTTTGTCATCGTTTTTGACCTAAAGCATGCGACCGAATCTTGACGGTTTGGGCTTTACTTTGAATCCTGGCCAAAGCCCCTATAACACGTAGCAAAGCATTGCAAAGCACAGCCGCTGGACCGTGTTTTACAAGCTAACCGCTACTCGGGCGCATTCCTTTCTAAACCGCAAGACGCGGGTTTTTCTTTACAACTCCAAGTGGGGCACTCCAGGGACCAGGCAAAAAGGGCGAGGAGAATGGTGGGCCGAAGAGGTTCAAAATGAAACAACCCCACACGGAAGATAGGAAATAAGCAGAAGCCCGAAGTGACATGCACAATCATCGACACATGGACAGACATAAAGAGATAGAGAGAACACAGCTGGAAGCGTATAAAGAGGCACTTAAGTGAGCCCAACGCTGGGTCTAAACCCTGAACCCTGAACCCTGAGCCCTGAACCCTAAACCCTAAACCCTAAACCCTAAACCCTAAACCGACTGCCGAGCCGCCGGTTTCAGCTTGGGAGCTGTCAGCTCCACTTTCCCCGGCCGCTCCTCCCCAGGCGAGAGAGCGGCTTCCAGGGGGAAGAAGGGGGGTCTAGGGTGTAGGGTTTAGGGTTTAGGGTTTAGGGTGTCGGGTTTGGGTTTAGGGTTTGGGGTTTAGGGTTTAGGGTGTAGGATTTAGGGAGTTTGCGGTTTAGCCGCAAAAGGGGCTTAAGTAATCTACCCCCAAACCCTCAACTCCTACTCCCCTAAACCCGAAACTGCTCGGGACCCTCACAGCCTGTAGGGCTTAGGGTAAAGGCTGGTTCAGGGTGTAGGGTTTAGGGTTGAAGGGTTGAGGGTTTAAGGGTTCAGAGCTGTTCAGAGGGTCTTCAGGCTTAGGGGCCGACAGTCCTCCGCCGAGCGTTTGATCCAGTCGTCCGTGGCATCGCGCGGTTTCGGCTGGCCCTGTGGGGAAGACATCTCCCAAACCCCTGTAATCCCTACAAATCCCTACAACCCACATCCTCCTTCGATGTCTGTTTCTGAAGGGACTCAGGGGATACAGGCTGCGGGTGGAGGTTGCAGTGCTGAAGCCAAGTTGTAGCCTGCAAGAGCCGGTTGCCCCGGTGCGCCCAACGAGGAAGTCCACAGCCAAGAAAAGCCGGGTGGGGCAGGTCATTGTGTCATGTCCTCAAACGTTGACCCTTCTTTCGGTTATGGGGCCCCGTGGCCTGAGCACGAAGATGCAAGTGGCAAGGCTCTGCGCTCAGTGTGTCCTCAGAGCCAGGACTTCGGCACGTCGTCAGACCAGGACGGGTTGCGATGGCAAGCAAGGCATCGACGGCACCATGTACCAGGAGACGGGAGACATTCTGGTTGTAAGGGAATGCCCCGATTAGCGCGGTGTCACCGGCGCTCCCTGTTTGAGTCATTCCTTGATGCTCACAGGTGGCGGATTTTTGTCAAAGTTGGCCCATATAGCCGGGGACACGGCAGCTCTGCTGCCAGCACTTACTAGCAGAGCCTTCTGCGATGCTGCAGAAGGCCCACTCCCTTACGAGCCCTTTCTGTGGGTGACGCGGTGGGCGCGGGTGGGGGGGGGGGGGGGGGGGACTTCCTGCTGCATGTTGTACTTCTTTATGTAGGGTTTTTAAGGGTTGAGAGGTTAGTGCTTTGGATCGTTCCGCATGCAGAGGCGTGTCAGAGTGCATGCACGTCACGGTCACAATCTTGCCTGCGCCACGGGAACTGATGCAAACAAGGCTGTGTATCGTAAAGATGAAAAAAAAAACACTACTACCGTGTTTTTTGCGGATGTGAGCTCACCAGGCATTATTCTGAGCATTGCTGTTCTTCTTCTTATCATCACCATCATCATCATCATCATCATCATCGTCGTCGTCGTCATCGTCATAATCACCTTCATCATCATCATCATCACCCTGACAAGCATCAACATCATCATCATCATCATCACCATGACCAGCATCAACATCATCATCATCATCATGATCATCATCATCAGCATCATTGTCATCACCATCATCATCATCATCGTCATCATCGTTATCATTGTCATTTGCTCTCGCTGCTGCTCTTCATACGGCCAAATGCTCGACTGCACCGGCCTTCAGCGACCAGAGGGGCGGCACGTCTTCGACATCCGGCCCTGAGAGGCGTTCTAAATGAAGATCCCCCTAAGGGGCCCTAGAAAAGCACAAGGCTTACCGGGGTTTTGGGAAGTGAATCCTCGTGTTCTCTTGTGGCCCTTCCTCAGAGTAGCCATCATCATGCAAGCAACAGCCGTGAGAACCATGACTTGCGATGCTACCCTAACAGGAGGTGAACAAGTCTTCATAACCAGCAATCCTTTCTCCCAGGGGGGAGGGGGGGGGGCCCCAATTTGGGGCCCTGCTATCTTCATACGGAACCGAAGCCCTCGTCCCGAAAACCTAAATCCTAGCCCTAAACCTTATAAGGGAGGACATCCACCGTGCACTTGGCTGAATTGCAAAAATGGCCTGGGATGCGCGGCTTTGTGTGGCGCACCCCCGCTTGAAGGAAGCCTTGGTCTGGTTCGGGGTTTAGGGCGCAGGGATCTCAGGTTTTTGTCTCGGTTGTTTTTGGGTTTTAGGGGCTTTTTAGGCTGTTGGGACTTGGGCTGGCGGATGGGTTTTGGGCTGGTGGGGCCATGTTGGGGGGGGGGGGGGTTCTTGTCCGGGGTGTAACAAGGGTGTTTGCTTCTTGGGTGCTTTCGGGAGGAGCCCAAGCCACCAGCTTGCAGGGTGCGCCGCTCGGGGCTTTTTTTGGAGCTTCCTGCAGGGAAGCTCGAGCTGATCCTGGAAAGGCCCCTAAGGGCCTCGCGAACCCTCGCAGGAAGAATATCGAGGGCTTCTTTCTTTGCCTGGGAACAACCAGGAGCTGCGTTCTCGGCGGTCGGCACCATGCGGCAGGCACCAGCTTGAAGTTCTCTTTAACGTTGCTGAACTGCTGCTGGGCTCACAAAACAAACGACCCTTCCACAGGCCATCACCCCTGTCCTTCTTTTGCCCCTCCCCTCACTCTTCACTGGGATTCTTCGGGTTTTCCTCTTGGGTCGCGTCGGTAGGAAGGTAGGGGAGCTAGCGCTCGAGTCTACTCTGCCCAGCGCAGGGCTTGAGCAGAACAGCCAAGATCCCAAGTCGCAGCCTGAAGGGGGCATGCTCTTATTATTATTACTATTATTAATATTATATTAATTATTATTATTGTTGTTATTACTATTGTTATTGTTATTGTTGGGTTAGTATTGTGAAGAGGGCCCAGGTGTTCTCACAAATTGAAATTGAAGGCAGATCCGCGGAACCCCAAGAAACCAGCCCTCGCCTTGAAAACTCCCCGGGTCTCAAGAGGGACTCGAACTTGCAGGGGGGCATCTTCCCCCCCCCCCCCCCCCCCCCCCTCAAAAGACTATGGATACACACGATGACTCGCCAAAACACGTCGTGAAGGCAGCCACAAAAGAGAGAATACCAAGCCGCCAGCCTCTATCCACCCTCAGAAAACAGCCCTGGAGAAGTGTGCCCCCCCTAGTCGAACCCTTGGGAGTATTTTTCCAACCCTCACCCTATATACAACAATGTGCATTTGTTATTTCATTGGTTTTCCTTTTCTTGTTTTTTTTTTGGGGGGGGGGGGGGGGGGGGGGGGGGGGGGGGGGCAGGGGGGTTGCCAACAATAGCGTGCCTACATTGGGGGGCTCCAGCACAAAAATACAACTTTGAGGTATATGGGGTACAGGGCGACCTTCCGATTGTCCGGGTTCTTGTCCGGATGCCATATCAGGGCCTTCTCCCGGTAGGCCTGAAGGCTTCAGGGCTTCACGGCCATTAGAGTTTAGGGTTTAGGGTTTAGGGTTTAGGGTTTAGGGTTTAGGGTTTAGGGTTTAGGGTTTAAAGGTCGAGAGGGCTTGAGGGCTTGAGGGTCGCAGGCCTGAGCAAGGGTCCGGGGGTCCACGGGAGGCTTGTCGTTCAGGACAGTTCGCTAGCAAGTTCACTGCTGCCAGCTGCTGCCCACTTGCTACCCTCAACCCACAACACTACAGGGGAGGTCTCTTTGTGTAAGGCATCTGAATCACGGCACGCGGGGAGCGGAGGACTAAAGGAGTGAAGCTGTTGGCAGAGGCCTCCAACAAACCCCCGTGTTTGGAGGGATTTATGAGCTTTAGGGTGTACATACTTCTTACCACGCGTGTCAGGCAGCCGTGAGTGCACCGGGTCTGCCGCGCGGAGGCGGGTTCAGCCCCAGGCCTTCTTGAGGGTCCGAAGGTCTGCATCCTTCGGAACTTCCAAGATCTCATAGTACGTCTTGGCCTGCCAACAGTACGGAAACGTGGAAATTGGGAAATTGCAGCTGCGGTTTTGGTACCGTTTCAAACGGTCAGGAACAGGGACCCAAGAAAAGGAGGCGTCCGTTCTGTGCACTGTGCACACCGCTTGGGAACTTAGGGCATCACGAGGCAGGCAAGGCAACTGGACTGCTCAAAAGGCAGGAGGGATACCCTCCAAACCCTAAATCCCGAAACCGCTTGTTGATGTTCGAGGAGAAAGGCCCCTGCCAGAACGCACCGCAGCGCTGACAGGAAAAGCAGGATCACCTCAGACGAGCTGAGGGGCTCTGAAGCAGTGGCGGGGATAGGTTTTCCGTCAACCCTCAACCGTGGATTCATCGCAGTCTCCTACATCTTCAGAGTTTTCAGAATGCCCTCACGGGTGGAGACCTCCCAGGGTGTAGGAAGTACAGCGGTCCCTCGCACTTCGAGGAGCTGTAGGTGCTCAGACTGACATGACCCTTTAAAGCGGCGAAGAGAGCGGGCTTTTGAGGGGCTTTGAGGGGGGAGTGGCGGCCTTGAGATGTCGGTACCCCATTGCTCAGCTGCACTCTGCTCCTAGTCTCCTAGCTTCTAACTTGTTCAGTCAGGTGGTTACAATGTTCGACTTACTAGTCAAATAAGCTTTCTTGGCAGGTAGGTACTTCTGCATCTCCCTCCGACACTCGGCATCTTCGCATCTTTCGCCTCCGCAAGATATGCAATTGCGGTATTGTGAGTGGCCTCTGTTGCTTGTGCACGGCATGCCTTCGAGCCCACTCTGCACAAAAAGGGCAGCGCTTGCATGGTGGGTATGCCAAGTAAGAGCATCAACAACACGCAAACCCTAACACACACAAAAACAAACACACACACACACAACACACACACACACACAAAACACACACACACACACACACACACACAAACACACACAAAAGCACACACACACATACATGCACACAGACACAGAGGTTCGCACCCTCTCACACAGACAGACAGACAGACAGACAGACAGACAGACAGACAGACAGACAGACAGACAGACAGACAGACAGACAGACAGACAGACAGACAGACAGACAGACAGACAGACAGACAGACACAGACAGACAGACAGACAGACAGACAGACAGACAGACAGACAGACAGACAGACAGACAGACAGACAGACAGACAGACAGACAGACAGACAGACAGACAGACATACAGACAGACAGACAGACAGACAGACAGACAGACAGACAGACAGACAGACAGACAGACAGACAGACAGACAGACAGACAGACAGACAGACAGACAGACAGACAGACAGACAGACAGACAGACAGACAGACAGACAGACACACACACACACACAACAAAAAAAAATGCTAATGATAACAATGATAATAATGACAATCATGATAATAATGCTCATAAGGATAATAACGATAATAATGATAATAATGATAATAATGATAATAATGATAATAATGATAATAATGATAATAATGATAATAATGATAATAATGATAATAATGATAATAATGATAATAATGATAATAATGATAATAATGATAATAATGATAATAATGATAATAATGATAATAAATGATAATAATGATAATAATGATAATAATGATATAATAATAATGAAATATGATAATAATGATAATAATGATAATAATGATAATAATGATAATAATGATAATAATGATAATAATGATAATAATGAAAATTAATCATAATAATGATAGTAATGATAATAATGATAATAATGATAATCATGATAATGATGATAATAATGATAATAATGATAATAATGAAAATTAATCATAATAATGATAGTAATGATAATAATGATAATAATGATGCTAATAATGATAATAATGATAACAATGATAATAATGATAAAAATGATCATAAGAATAATACTAATAATGCAATACTAAAACATCCAACAAATTAGAGACTGGCTGGCTGATGCCCTCAGACAGAAGTTACGCTACAAGGACAGCCCTACAGAGCTATGCTCTGCCTAGTTTCGGCAAGCTTCTGTGGAATCGAGGTTGAGCCCACACAGCACTCCCCCGATTCGGCGATGCCCGCGGTTTAGGGTTTAGGGTCTAGGGTTTCAGGTTCAGGGTTTAGGGTCTAGGGTTTAGGGTTTAGAGTTTAGGGTTTAGGGTTTAGGGTTCAGGGTTTAAGGTTTAGGGTTTAGGGTTTAGGCTTTAGGGTTTAGGGGGCTCTTCATCTGTCTGACACTGATGGCCGGCTTCCATAACTCCCTCTCGCAAAAAACACATGGTGCAAAACATCGTGGCAGATGCGAAACGAATGCACGACTCCCAATCTCAATCCTACACTTACACCATTGCACGCGTGAGCTTGCAGCAACGTTCAGATGGTCCTGAAACACTGCACCATCGGAATGTTTGCGGGCTGGATCAGGGAATATCTCAAAAAGCCGTTCTTAGACACGCCCAACTCCCACAGTGACGTTGTGGCCGGAGACAGCACGGGAGCGGTCTTTTTGCACATAACCGCCAACGCGCTGGGTCTCCGCATCTTCTGGCGGACCCTCTTTGCATTGCCTGCGGTGACAGTGGTTGGGAGTGTGGGAAGGCTTTCGGCTCGGGATTTTCTGCACAAGCGCAGCACGATGAGGGCAAGACGCGGAACGGCCGGAAGAATTTGCAAGGACTTATGCGGGATTTGGTCCGCACTCCACGTATCCTATCCTAGCCCCGTGGTTCTGATGTAAGCTTGAACACTTTGCGTCTCGATGGATTGGTGGCTGCGCACGGGTTTGATTGAAGGTTTCCAGCCCGTTGCAACTATGCAGTGGGCCTGAATTTACGGGAGCCTACGCCCAGAAGAACCCGCCATCGTTGGCATTTTGGAAGAGAGAAGCACAGGGAAACAACCAGCTCCGGAAGTTCCAATGAGCCCGAAACATCCCAACTGGCTTTAACATCACCAGCATGCATTTAGGGCTTAGAGTTTAGGGTTAGGGCTTAGGGCTTAGGGCTTGCTGAATCTTCGCAGTCCTCCGCAAGCGTATCAGCGCTTTGCCCACGTGCCCCTGGCTTTGCTTTACATTTGTTGAACGATTTTGACAATGGATAAAGATGAGGGGTTTAAGGGTTGATCGTTTTGCGCGCGTGTGGGGTTTTAAGGGGGTGCATTTTGTCCAGGGTTAGGTATGCTGCACTACGAATACGAATACGAATACGAATACGACGACGACGACGACGACGACGACGACGACGAAAACGAAAACGAAAAACGAAAAACGAAAAACGAATAAGAAAACGAATACGAATACGAATAATACGAATACGAGAAAATATTAGTCGCTCGTGTTGCTCTCAGTCGTTTCTGCTGATCACCATGGCTCTACTATGTGTATTCTTACAGCATTGATAGTCAACCATTTTGTTCCTGTGAGTCATTTAAGCGATCAGAACCCTAAACCCTCAACCCTAAAAGCCCAGAACCCGCAACCCGAAACCCCAGAACCCTAAACCCCAAGCCCTAAACCCTAACCCCCCAAAACCCCTAAAACCCCCCAAACCCCCTAAAACCCCCTAAAACCCCCTAAAACCCCTAAACCCCCTAAAACCCCTAAAACCCCCTAAAACCCCCTAAGACCCCCTAAAACCCCCTAAAGCCCGAACGCTTCTCTCACTTGCCCACGTGAAGCCTCCTCGGCGCGCAGCGCCGAGGCCGCAGTGTCCGGGGCCAGCGTCAGGCCCTCGGAACGCGCCCTGAGTGTAGGGTGTAGGGTTTAGGGTTTGGGGTTTGGGGTTTGGGGTTTAGGGTTTCGGGCGAGGCACGGGCACAGAAGAAGCGGAGAGAGGAGACCAAAAAAAAGGATAAGCAGCCATGTCCGCCCTGAGCCCTGAAACCTGAAAAAATCCCTAACCCCAAAACCCTCAAGCTCTAAACCCTAAACTCTAAACCCTAAAACCCTAAAAAACCCCTAACCCCAAAACCCTAAGCTTCTAAACCCTAAACCCAAAATCCCTCAAATCCCTAGAATCCATAACCCCCCCCCAACCCCTAAACGGGGGCCTCTGCAGAAGTCGCTCGAGCCGCTCCTCATCCGTGGCGGGAGCCTGTGGAAGCTCTAAGAGCTCTGAACAGTATGATCCCCTAAACCCTAAACCCTAAACCCTAAACCCTAAACCCTAAACCCTAAACCCTAAACCCTAAACCCTGAACCCTGAACCCTGAACCCTGAACCCGAAACTCTAAGCCCTAAACCCTAAACCCAATCTTAAGCCCATTCAGGGAAGATATGAGCGTATCCATGATCCGAAAAACCTAGGGCCAGTTTCCAGCTACAACCTCAAGAACGCCAAAAACAGCATCTTGCGTGTGAAACGGCCCCTTAGGGCACAGAGATTGCACGAGACATCGCCCAAGCCTGACTTAGAGCCCGAATGAGCCCAGAAAGTGCAGTCCGCATCCTCCTGCCCAGCAACTGGAACTTCTAAATGAACTCCGCTCCCAGACCCGAGGAAACCGGTCCACCAGAAACGCCGCCTTCTTTGGGACCTTCGGATCTTGCTCCTCTCCAGGCAAAAAGCAAAAAACAAAAATGGCAGGCTTCTATCCCAGCTGCTGGGGATCGCGAAGCGTGGGGCTGCTGGGGAGTGTAGGATCAACGTGAGGAACACAGAACGAAACAAAAAAGGCTGAAAGGTAATTTTTGCGACTTCCGGGCACTGAGGTGTTGGGGCGCAACGAGGCACCTGAAGCTGTCCTAAGCCCTGAGACCTACACACTCCATCCTAAACCCGATACACCGCGCTCAACCCTAAACTTGACACCCTAAAGCCGAAGCCCTAAACCCCAGTCGAAATACCGGATGCGGGGCGCGCAGAGAAATCTGGGTGAACCGACCCCCCCCCGGGCCATCAACCCGAACTCGTAAGCCCGACAACCCTTAAGATGCATTAAGCTCACGAGTTTTGGCCGGACTACAGGACCTCTACGGAATTTAGGGATGATAAACGGCTTCGTTAAGGCTACTGATACGGACTATGCAAGGTATAGAACGAGTTACGTAGCAAGCTGAAGCCACCAAAGCTCCTGAGCACCAACCCTGGCGGTCCTTGGCAGCATCGTCATTCTCCTCAGCCTCCACATCCGCCTGTCCAAAAAATAGCCGGAGGCCGGTTCTCTAGATTAGGGTCCCGTTGTGGGTCCCCCATATTATAATGCGGTAACCTTATGCTAAGGACCCCAAAACAATACCCTACCTCTTACAGGGGCTGTGGGCAGTTGACGTGCAAGATGTGCACCACCGACTCCGCACACCTCCCGAAAGCACCGAAAGCCGACACAGAGACCATCTTAGGGTTTAGGGTTTAGGGTTTGGGGTTTGGGGTTTAGGGTTTAGGGTTTAGGGTTCAGGGTTATACATGGATTGGGGCCCGTAGAACCTTGAAACATGTCTTCCGAATCAACCCCGATTTGGGGGTTTCCGAAAAGAGGTACCCTTTTTGGGGTCCACTTGAGAGGATTGTATTCTATTTGGGTATAAAGGGGTACCCCATTTTTGGGGAAATACCCACTTTTCTTGAAGTCTGGGCACATCTTTTGCTAAAGCTCCACCTCTTGATTTCGACCAGGCTGCAGTTGTACAGGACTTGGTCTCTTCTATTAAGCACTCGGTGCAGGGTAGGTTTTAGGGTTTAGGGTTTAGGGTTTAGGGTTTAGGGTTTGGGGTTTAGGGTTTGGGGTTTAGGGTTTAGGGTTTAGGGTCGAGGGTCTAGGGTTTGGGGTTTAGGGTTTAGGGCTTCGGGTTTAGGGTTTAGGGCTTAGGGTTTAAGATTTAGGGTTCAGGGTTTAGGGGGTTGAGGGGCTTAGGGGCGTTCAAGGGGGCTTAGGGGGCCTTAGGGGGCTTAGGGGGATTTAACCTTCACTCTTCCCCTGGTGAAACTTCGCAGGCCTCAGGCGCCGAGTCCTTGAGATACCCTAAACCCTAAACCCTAAACCCGAAACCCGAAACCCTAAACCCGAAACCCCAAACCCTAAACCCTAAACCCGAAACCTTAAACCCTAAACCTTAAGCCCTAAGCCCTAAGCCCCTTCGGCCTGCAGACTAAAGCTCTTCGAGCTCAGAACGCCGCAACAGCGACAAAAAAAGAACGCGAGGTTGGCCCTTAAAAAAAATGTTCCTAAATATGAACCGTTTGAGCCCACTAAGGGGAAATACTGAAAAATATCTCAAGGGCCTACCCGGCCTACCCGGAACATGATCGAAATTGATAGGATGTTGCCGACTGGCATTCCGCAAGCCGGTTCGCCTGGAGCAGTTTGCCTATAGCTGCCAAGCATCCTTCTAGAATCAAAGGGCTTCAGACGCAAGTCACATGGTTTGCAAGACCTGATTTGGCCAGCCCGTGACAAACTTGTAGATCTGAACGTGGTTGCCAACCTCAGCGTATAGCACAAGTTGAAAAAGGGCCAGACCTCTAAAGCCTAAACCCGAACCCCCCTCAGCCCTGAACCCTAAAGGCGGAGGGTTTTTTCCCGGGTGCGGCTTGGCTTGGTTCGGCCCTCTTGCCCGGCAGTGTTTTCTTTTGCCGAGTTTGGCTTGGCTCGGCTTGGCTCGCAATGGGTTCCTTTTTTCTCGAGGTGCGGCTTGGCTTGGCTCGGCTTGGCTCAGTCTGCCGGGATCTTGTTTTCCTGGGCTTGGTCCATATGCGAAAACAGTGCCTGCATGATGGGATGCTGGCGTCTGGAAAGGAGTCCTATGTTTTTGAGCTAGCTTGCACAGCTGCAAAATTGACACAAAAGCAGGGGTTGCAAACACAATGCTCTCGCTTGATAGGAAAGTCACACAAAAGCAGGGGTTGCAAATAATGCTCGCTTGATGGGGTTTGGCAGGGATCGGAAAGGCTCGCAGCTTCCCCCATTTGCAAGAGTAGATGCTTGCATGACGGGGATAGGAGATTCACATGTTCAGAAATCAGATGCACACACGCCGTCCAGGAAAATGGCCTGGCACGCTACTTCGACGCAAAGTGCCCGGACTGCTTAGCACCAACAGTCGTTTCTCCACTAAATTTTCCCAGATACGATAGGAACTATAACTCCCCAAGAAAGAACAAAAATGTGCCACCATAAAATAGATGTATCATGTTATCCTAGATCTACTGCAGAAGTTCCGAAAACTATTCCTGTAGAACTATTTATAGTCAACGTTACCAAAAAGGAGTGTGAGAAGAAGACAGACCTACTTCTAAGGCGTAACAATGGTGGATTTCCAAGATACGTAAAAAAAAACAATCAAAGATGTTCGTACCAGTTGGTAAGGATATGAAGATTGTAACTCCTGCAAAATAGGCTCTTGTATCACTTTCTAAACCTACAGTATACACGATGCCCCCGAACAAAACTTCCAGTGCTTGGGTTACCAAAAATTATGATTGTATTACTTGTAAAACTCCAGAAAATATTGTGAAAATGATCCCTTACGCAGGAAATATTAAGATGGAAACCTCTGGATGTCCAAAAAACCATAATACATGTTGATAGCATAAGATCTCCTCCAAATCTTGGGACAAAGACAAGTGTTTAGAATGAAGATCACCCAATATTAAAAGAAGTGTACCAGATAAGATTGGTAATGTGAATAACTGCACGAAAGCTGCAATCAAGAAATTTCCAAGGAAATAATGGGATAGTCTTTAATGTCAGAACAAGGCCTCAGGTTTAGAACTGCTGTCCAAAAGTATTCCAACAGTTAAGAGATGTAAGACATGAAGAGGTTGTGGATAACCCTAGGCTGACCTGCGTGAAGCATGCCAAAATTGCTTGCGGGAACGAGGCGCTGTTCTGCGTTTATGCTCAGGGGTCCGCAGCTTAAGCCGTTCTGAGTGTTTTGCAGATAGGCCACAGGCGAGTTGGATCTTGCGATCTGACATCTCCTTCGCCTTTTGTTTTGCCCAAGGCATGTCCAGGGCACCCCACGACTCCTCGGACATCCAGAACACACGGCGGGACATGGCTTTCATGCGCTTGGCAAATTCGCTGTCTGCGCGCTGTTGCACAAAAAAGGAGTTTTGTCATTGCCCACGCCTTGATCAGCGCGGGTGAAGCGGGGAGCCAGTCGCTCAATCAACGCACGCTGCCGCTGTTCATGCGAGATGAAAAGAGCATCCACACACTTGCGGAAGACGGGCGACTTGCCACAATTGCTTTCAGCAACTAAAATGTTGAAGATGCGTGGCCGCGCGCGATGTTCCAGCTTTCTCGGGCTGAACACCGCATGGACATCATGGTGGCAGACCCGCCCGGCAGTTGGTAGAATGAAAGCCGGCGGGAATGCGCGTGCAATGCCGCACTTTTCTGCAAACCGACACGGCACGCCGACAAAGAAAGGCGCCAGCTTCGTCAGGTAGGGGTGCTCAACACATCAAGGATCGTTCCCCCGAAGGAGCGGCTTTCGGACAAGCGTTGCTTCCATAGCTCGTGATCACGTCTGCAACGCTAAGATTGAAACGGGACCGGGCGGGCGATTCCAATGGCAGGTCAAAAAACTACATCAAGGCTTCCAGATCATCGAGGAGTTGACAGTTCCATGACTGAGCCTGCCGCCCCCTACCTTCTTCAAGCTCGAGAGCCCTGAAGTCCTTTTAGGGGTAGCCCAACAACTCGATGCCTCGAAGCCCTTTACCCTAGCAAACCCAAAATCTTGCCCTCCGAGTACAAACGCCCCTTAAACCTTGGCAGCGGATGCCTCTCCAATCGGGGCCAGAGGCCTGCAAGCAAGCGAGTTCACAAGTCCGAGGCCTACATCATCAGTCCCGAGGCACACAGCTGGCAGCACAATGCAAACATCCGTCTGTCGCCTTTTAGGATTCCATCCCAGACCTGTTTGTGCACCACTCATGAACCGTCGATGCGATTCTCCGAAACTAGAGCTATATGACAGGCATCATGGCATTCATGTCATTAAGAACATCTTCATGCTATGATGAAAAGTGTACGCAAACTAGACGGTTCTCTCGCAGTAGGCATGCTCAGGTATTATTGCATGTCGCGCTCACGTCAAGTTGTGGACTATGTGTTCGCCAAAAATCCGTCTGTCTGTGCAAGGTGTATCGCACATCCACTGCAGCTTCGATCGCAGCGTGCTGCGCTCGCCAAAACGCAGCTACAGCGAGGGCAATGCAGCCACATTAACAGCGTAGCCGCCACGGAATGTGTTTCTCATCTCCTGCGCATGTGCAAGCAAGACATTTGTCTCTGCGGCCGTGCAGAGGCAGTACATCATACTTTCCTGCAGTGGCGCCGGAAAGCAACCCTGAGAATCGCATATTCGAGGGTAGAGCTCTTGCAGCCTCAGTGGCATGCCGCTTGTTCTGCCCCCCCCCCCCACCCCAGCCCCGCCCCCCTTTAAAAACAAAATCTCATCCTCAGCCTGCTCCTAAGAACCGTGTCCCCTTCGAGGGTCCTTTCAGTGTGGGTTTCGGGTTTAGGGTCTCTAGGGCTGTGCAGGACGCGCTGCGTTATCAGAGCAGAAGAGACAATCCTTGAAGGTAGATTTGGATACATATATATATATATATGTATTCTGCACTTATCTACTTCTCTGTATATATGTATGCACATATACATATATATATATATACTTTGCTCACACTTCGTTTATGTAACTTTATGTAGGATTCCACGTATCAACATTTATTCGTCAAGCTAAATCCCACAACCCTAAACCTCACACCCCCAAACCTGAACGCAAAAACCCTAAACCCACAAAAAAGAAAGAGGGGGCACGGTGTTCTTGACCAATTCCTAAAACCCTGAAACCCTGAGCCCCAAACCCAAAAATCCTGAACCCCAAACCCTAAACCCTAAACCCCAAACCCCAAACCCTAAACCCTAAACCCTAAACCCCAAACCCTGCA